TTTGTTTTAGTAACCTTCTAATCAACGTTGATATACAAAATTTTATTTGTTAGTTTAACCATTGTCAGTTGTTATTAATATCTAAACTATTCATTGCTAATAATTTATTTAATCAAAATTTAACTGATAAATTATTAGTCCCTAATAAATTATTTAAACTTGCGTTATTGATAACAATTAATTGTAATCATGATTAATTTTCCTCATCGACAACGATTATTAATTATTATTAATAATCAGCAATTATTATTAATTGTTGTTATTAACATTAATAATCATTAATAATTAGAATAATTAAAAATTAATACTTATATGCCATGCTGTTTATTTAAATATTTTTTAGAACTAAACAATTTCTTTTTGTCCACTGTTTTGTTTTAAATAACAGTCATTTGTTTCCAAACATTACTCTCCATAGAATCGTAAAAATTATTGTTACTTCAATTCTCTGATTTTACTGTTTAATTAAAAAGAATCATGCAACTGAGTTTTACAGTAATTAAATTTTAATTCAACGAGATCTTCCTACAATAATACTTTCGTATGCTTCGATTTTATAAAATCATATATTTTCCTGGACATTTAATTTCTCGTATGTTTAACGTGAAACGAAGGATCAACTTTTATGAAATTCAAATGTAAACCTTGAAGATAAAGTGATAAGATATTTGATAAAATTTCCAAAACACTTCGTTAAACAATTTCCAATTTTTAGTTGTTCATTGCAAAGCCATTCGTTCTATTTTTATGAATCACGACGTATTCGCACAAGATAAAATTTTATTTATAACGCCACGTTTTATCAAATCCAACCAAATCACGTAAATTACATTTTTGTTGTTCTGGTTCGTGAACGCAATTGTTGTAACAATCGTTTGTACATCTAAGGGAAAAAATTACAACCATATTTTTTAATGGAAATTGTATTATGCGGCATCGTATATATTGTTTCAAACTTATTGCTCGTGTCAGTTTGCTCGCGATATATTTCATGGTCGGCCATTTCGTTGCCGCGTAAATAATTTTCACAGAGACACAGACTAGTTCGCTGTATACTAAATGCAATATATTAGTCACTCGTTTTGTGACACGAACGTAAATTCATCGAGGGCGGCTTATCGTTATCGTTTGCAGTTATTAGAAATGAAATAAACTACTTGACAATCCAATTTGTAATTTGTCAAGAAAAGACACATTCGTTAACGAAAGAAACTTTCGTGAAAAGTTGAACTTATTAAAACTTGAAAATTGAAAAGGTAAACTGTTTCTCAGTTTAAAGAAATTTTATTTCTGGTAAAATTAAAAGATCGCTTTTACGTCTTCCTGTGGGTTACCTTAACCTCAAATTTGACATCGGTCGCAAGTGATTTGGTTTTTACTAGTTTATGAGTATTCACAGTGTAGTTGTGTAAACATTATTTTTACTTCTTTTATTTTTGTAAAATTTCTATTATTTAATATTGTTAGATATTCATAGTGATATTAAACATCATTAAATACTATAATGAATATTTTTGTAAAATTTTTATGATGCAAGCTCTTTTAGAATGACTGGATAACTCACACAAAGGTACCTAAATATTTAAATAATTTATTCTTCCAACTGTTACATATAAATTTCAAATAAAAATCTTCAAAAATAATCTATAATTCATTTCCATAAAAATGTACTGAAAGATTTTTGAATGAAAGTTTCGAAAGTAATCTAATGGTATTAGAAGTAACATCACTTAATTCACTTAATCCAAACAAAAATGTGTTAGAATTAAAAATCTATACTTCTGCACTTATTTCATTTTATACGACACTTTTAAGTTCAAAACCTTCTAAAGTGTTTTCGCTTTAGTTTAAAGTTGTATATATAGATTATTCGAATAATGGGTAATTTTGATATGTGCATTATTGAGGGTATAAGTGGTACGTTTCGATGTCTAAAGCAGAGATGTAGATTTCGAGCTTCAGCTTGCTTCTTCGATGTCCTCTGCTCGATCGAATGTTCATGCACACATTCAAATTGACAAACAGTGCCATTAATTCTACGACCTTCGAGTACCTATCGAGACATGATCGTCTAACGGATGACAAACATGTATGGAACGATAATGATCGGTGATTGCATCGTGGCTGTTGACTGATTAGAGAATCATCCACACTTTGTGCATTCTATTGTGGTGTATCGCTGCTCAAATACAGTGGTGAACAAATTATAGATAGTATTTTCAGTTTGAAAATTTATTAATTTTATACTGTCAAATTAATTTTATAATGTAATCTTATATAATGATTTTATAATGCAATTTAGTAATTATAATAATTATAAAATTATTACATAAGATTATATGTAATTATTATTATTATAAAATAATTTTGTAATGTAAAAATTGAAAATTAATTTTCAAAATTAGAATACGAGTTAACTAGAAAATTTAAAGATTCAAACTTCTATATTTCTTTACAGGTAAAATTTTTACACCTTCAGGTTATCAAATTTCTATATTTCAAAATTAGCCAATATTTTCATTTCTCGATTCTTAGGTTTTTAAATGTATACTATATTTCTAGACTAGCAAATTTTTTATTTTTTAAATACATTCGTTTATTTAATTTTAAGTTTTTGTATTTTTAAGTTATTATGTTTCCAAATCCATTAATTGGAATATTTAACAATTCGAAAATATAAAAACACTGAAATCTTTATGTTTATAACTTTTGTAAAAGTTTATGAATTTGTATACCCGTAAATTTAATATTTCTCCATATTTAATTCATCTTCATTTCCGAATTTCTGTATGTATTTCTAAGTTTTCAATTCTCCCAATTTTTAGTCTTTTAAAATTCCAAGTCTTCAAATTGTTAAATGTCTAAACTTCCAATTCTTCAAGTTGTAAACATGCAAATTGTAAACTTGAAGAATGATTAAAAGACTCAGTTAATTTTTCCATCACTGTTTTACAACGAGAAAAATCTTCGCTCGAACAGGAATTCGTTTCATGGTACAAAGTACTACCCAATAAAAAACTTAGAAAACAATTCAGTTTAATGCAATTTATGACGAAAAATTCAAAATATTGTACTTTGGACATTGTCTAAACTTTTTACTTGCACTTGATCTTACATTTCAATATTATGCAATAAAATCATTGCATTGCAGAGCAGAAATTCAATTTACTACTAGCGAAACAGTAAAGAAATCTGAAGTGAAATAGAAGTGCATATTTTTGAAAAAGCCTTTTATATGGAGGAGAGGATTTTGTAAAATTTACTGACATCGAAGCAGGGATTTAAATTTCATACGCGTATATGGATATATGTATGTACATTTTTTATGCGTGAAACAGGGTTACTCAATTTTTATTGAATTCTAAACTAGACATGGTAATTTAAATTTTGTATGAGTTACTATGGAATTCCTAGTTTGAGGTCAAAGGGCTTTCAACCGTTATGCGACGCGTTTCAAATATCACATACAAGATTGAATTTTTTCCTGCAATATCTAAAAATACGTTCGAACGAAATCGAAATTATAGAAAATTGTTACACGATTCTTCCATTAAAATTTCAAAAGTGTAATTTCTATATACATTTTTATTTTATAAAAAAATTCTATTGAAAAAGCAATCAATGTGGATCAAAGTTGCAGTAGTATCGTACAATGTAATGTTTTATATTCATAGTTTTTAAGATATTAAGAAGTCCTTTCAAGGATATTTTTAGTATGAGAAAAAACTTGTTTTACAATTGAAAACTATACAAATTCAAAATTTCTAACATTCTAAAAATTGTAATATTAACAATTTATACAAAGGAGAATTATTCAAATTTTCCAAAGAAGTAAAAATATTTATTACAAATTATACAATTATAGAATTATGGAATTATGGAAATTTAATCGAATTATTTATACAACATTAAAAAATGTATGACAAATTTTCTTTTTCGGTTTTGCGAAAATCTCACATAATAAACTAATTTTAATCGAGAACCAGAAACACAGATAGAAATTTCCCATTTTAAAAATTGACAACATTTCTGATTTTAGATTTCTCTCTTCTCTTCATAATATTTCAATAAATTGTATTGTTATGCAGTTAGTAGATTATTAAAGAAAATCGAAGATTTTTCGAGCGAGTTTCAAATTACGGATATTCTAAACGAACTGTAACTGCAAAAAGTTAAAATGATAGAAAGTATCAAAAGAAGCATCACCGATTATTGAGATAAAAATTTCATCCCACTTTCCCTGTTGTTATATTGTAATCTCCACTCCATTGAAATCCAATCATCCCAGAATTTTTGAAAACATATTCCAACTCACATTCATACAAACGCAATTATTCGCACATGAAAACACAAAAAACAATACAGCACAGCGTGATGAGACACCTCTATCGAATCTGCTCGTAAATCAAGCGAAGGGTAGTAATACGGATGAAGGGATCGTTTAGCTTCGCAATTAACGACACTGAGTACGCCTTTCGCATCCGTGTCAATCAGATACTAAACTAACCACCTTGGTAATACAATTACTCGTTGAAACGCGTCAGAAACGGAAAATGCAGGCGAAGACCGGAAGTGTATCGCGTTAGGTGAAACGACTTTAGCTAAACATTCGTAATTCGCATCGCAGCTCTGCCACCTTTGTAGATGTCCTCTTAGACGAACGGCGTTCCTTTCGTTGGCTAACGAGAAAAATACGAATGAAAAACAAAAAAATAAGAAAAGGAAAGATCAAAGAAAAAAATAAGAACAAGAAACGGACAGATGATACGACGAATCGCATGGTGACCATTTCGTCACGAAACGGTACAGTTTAGCCTCTGTTCACTAGCCGGTAAACTAGCCTTGGTATTTTTCGATCTACATATGTCTACCCTAGGAGATTTCCGTTCTCGTTTCTGTTTCCGTTTCCCGTTTCCGTTTGTTAAGCCGACTTCACTAAGCGGAGCTGATGAAAACAGGCCTGGGTTTGTAACATGTGCCTCTGGTGTGTGTGTCGACAGCTCGGGAATCGACTCTAATCCGACGGTGTTTTACCGGTTAATGCCTGGATCCACGGCTCAAACCAACAAGTTTCACACGTTTTACCTTCAGCAACGAGCCGAGAAGGATGTCACCTGGGCCGATATCAAGGTTAACCATCCTTTGGATTACGAGAGCATAAAGGAGTACAATCTGACTATACGAGTCGAGGTACGTGCCATCATTTTGTATCTTTTACAGTTATGTAAAGTTATGTTCATATGTATTAATTAACCCTTTGTATCTGAAATGTGACTCATACTATTCAATTTGATATGGTAATTTGAAATAAGTATTTCTTGTCTTAATCTTGAAATATATGTCTTTAACATGTACGTATCATATAACATGTACGTATTTGGCGGATAAATACAGCTAGATGACAATAGTGATAATTGACTCGATCTACAACTTTGACAGTATGTGCGTGAATCATACGTAACTAAATTATTACTGGAATGTTAAAACAAATAAGGACAATTAAATTGTTAGGTGTACGTTAGATTCAGAGATTCTAGATTGCAAATTTGGTTTACAATAGATAGCTAAAAGGATTAACACGTGAATTGATTCAGAGGAAAACGAGGATTATTACAAACTATTAAGACCGAGGATATTTAATTTAATTTGACAACCTGGAAATTTGGGAATTTAGCAACTTTGGGGGTTTAGAGGTTTGGAGATGTAGGTATTTGGGGATTTAGGTATTTGAGAATGTAGGTATTAGGAAGTATAGGGATTTGGAGATGTAAAGATATGGAGATTTAGGAATTTCGATATGTAGAGATTTGAGGATGTAGGGATTTGGAGATATAGAAATTTGGAGATGTAGAGATTTGGGGATGTAGAGGTTTGGAGGTCTAGGAATTTGGATATTGTATAGGAATTTGGAGATGTAGAGATTTGGGGATGTAGAGGTTTGGAGATCTAGGAATTTGGAGATGTAGGGATTTTGAGATTTAGTGATTTGGGGATGTAGGGATTTTGGAACGTAAGGATTTGGAAATTTAGGGATTTGAGGATGTAGAGATTTGGGGATTTAGTGATTTGGTAATGTAGAGATTTGAGGATGTAGAAATTTGGATCTATAGGAATTTGAAGATGTAGGGATTTTGAGATTTAGTGATTTAGGGATGTAGAGATTTGGGATTGTAGGGATTTGGGAATGTAGAGATTTTGGAATGTAGGGATTTGGAGATTTAGGGATTTAGGGATATAAAGAGTTGGAGATGTAGGGATTTTGAGATTTAGTGATTTGGGAATGTAGAGATTTTGGAATGTAAGAATTTGGAGATTTAGGGATTTGGGGATGTAAAGAGTTGGAGATGTAGGAATATGATGATTTTGGAAAGAAAATTGTCTTTTCCTCCTTATCATCTCTTTCGAACAAAAAGCCTGGTACAGACAAATAAACGCAAAAATTCGACTACCTACTGTCCTGTGCTATTAGCACAGCTTACTGACATAGTGTGAACGACCCCTTACTGGCCTAGTGTAAACAGTCCTTAAAGCCGTCAGGTATTCGCGATTGTATTAACCGGAGTGGGGGAAGAACTTCAGGGTTCGGGACTTCTTATCAATTATGAGGGATTATTTCGACAACCGTCCCTTCGCTCGCTTTTATTTTGATTGCGCTCCTCGACGTACAAATCAGTTACTTTTATAATTCAGGTTCGTTTCAAGCATTATAACAGTCTTGTAATATATTTGAGTTCATTTCAACATTACAAAAAATCTAATTTGCTTTTAATTCGTTAAGAATTTTTTATAAAATTGTTTACTTTCGTAGTTAAAAACAAATAATTAATTAATCCTTAATCTGCCGTTTGCACTGTTGATTACACAATTAACAGATGGCTTTGGACTTCAAAAAGACTTTGTATAGAATATAAAAGATTATGAGGAAATTTAATATTTTATATATAATTAGCTGTTACAACTACATAAATAAATAAAATGAGAACGAAAGTTTGAGAATGTACATATTTCCTGTATAATGAATTTCTTTTTGCAAACCGAGTTAATTCTTTTCTCCAACGTACCTGATATTCTACGAACAATTTTGTGCATTTTATTGTTGTATATTGTTTTGTTATCCTCCTATATCGAATAATTTCCGAATAGCTTTGCCTTTTGAAAAATCTCTTTTATACCAACAATATTTCTTCGATTTTTGGTGTACAAAGTGATGCGATATTGAATGCAGTTAATAAATTTCACAGCGGGTGGTATTTCTCTCGAAATTGTCGAGCTTCTGCAGAATGCAATCTCCTCAGTAAATAACCGCTGTCCTTTAATCTATTTAGAAAACTGAGGACAGAACAACTTGCAAATCCGCTTACGAATCGCTGTATTATTTTTATTTCAGTTACTGTACGGAATATTCGTAGCATGTACTTTTCACGTAGTACATAAGTCCTATACCGTGAAACGACGAAAATATGCTCTTCATTGTTTTACGGCATAAAACTCGTAAACGAGTAAGCTTCTTTTGATAATTATTTTAACATTTAATGAGATATTTTTCCATTACAATTTCTGATTTTTATTTCGTGCTTATGTTTTACACAAAAGGTACCTGTTTATTTTACGTGTACATTTAGGATTGGTAAATCTGCTTGAAAAAGTACTAGATATCAAATGATTTGCAATAATGTATAGGAAGGCCGTCCGATAAATATATAATTAACGTACCTAACTTAATCTAATATAGAATGTTGAAAAATTATAGAAAATTTTTAAGTAAAGTGTAGAAATACAAATTGTATAAATATTCGAAGCTGTAAGAAAGTTATGTTATAGTTACTTCATAAAAAGGGAACTAGTTTAATGTTTTGTTTTCAGTTCAGCATAGTACATTTATATTTTTATTCAAAATTTATTCCCACAATTTTTAAATCGACAAACATTCAGATTCTCAAATTTTTTAATTTTCAATTCCTAAAATTCTAAAGGTGCAAGTTTTTCAGTTATCAGATATTATAATTCTTTTTAACAATATGTTTTCAAATTTTTAAATACTCTTTCATATTTTCTAATTCATACACTTTCAGATTTCCAAATTTCCAAATTCCCATATCCCGAATTACCAAAATTTTTTAATTTTCAAACTCCTAAACTGTCCAAGCTCTCAAATTTCTAAATTTTCAAATTTCCACATTTTCGAATCTCCATATCCGGCTCCATATATTCGGGTTTTCCAAAATTTAAATTCCAAACTTAATTTCCAAATCTTTACATTTCTAATTTTTCTAATATTTAAGTTTCAGTATCTAAAAATTTCCATATCTTTAATTTCCAATATTCTTCAATTTTTGAATCTGGAGGATTTTGAAGAACCGAACCCTTAAAGTTTCAAATTGACAAATTTCCAAACTTGTAAATTCTCAAATTCTGAAATGTTTACATTCTTAAATTCTTAAATGTCTACATTATCATACTTGTAAATTCTCAAATTCTTAAATGTCTACATTATCATACTTGTAAATTCTCAAATTCTTAAATGTGTACATTATCATACTAGTAAATTCTCAAATTTTTAAATGTCTACATTATCATACTTGTAAATTCTCAAATTCTTAAATGTCTACATTCTCAAACTTGTAAATTCTTAAATGTCTGTTGAGAATATTGACAAAATTTAAAAAATATAAGGTAGAATGCGCACTAGACGAATGCGCATACAGCGCCGTACCCTTGTGTGTATGTGTACGTGAGATCGATCTAGTACTGGCCCGATCGATACGGAGCGGGGGCATTCGCAAATAGACTTGTTAGTAAGACTCATGTGTGCACGTGGTGAAATAGTTAAAGAACATTTTGTTAAGTAATAAATATAAATTTAAGAAGTAAATACAATTATATTAATTATCCACGCTTCTTAACAATGTCTACATTCTCAAACTTGCAAAATTCTCATATTTCTAACGTGAGAACGATATTTAGAAATTCGAAAGTACGTTATTTTGAAAATTTACCAATCAAAGTCAACTGCTACCATTTTCTCTTACGTAGCCATATTTTTCATTTAAATCCACATGAGAATGCACCTAATTATCAACGACCCACTGCGAATTGAATTTTCTGTTTAATTTCTCTAAACCGCGGCTAATTGCAGATACTTGAAACCGCGAAATCAGCGAAAGAACGTGTAGAGCATATTTATCCACTCTGATTTCTTTACAAATGCATTTAAACAAACATTTTTTAGGTCAAAGTTAACCTATTTCGCTGAATAGGAAGGTCCTTTGCCGTGGATACGTTTCTTGAATCGTCGAAACCTTGAAACCCTCGAAGCGTAAGAAAGTTTCGAGTATCGAGAATTCGAAACTTTGTACCCTTTTCGTGATTCGGGACTCTCGAAACCCAGATAAGAAAACGTATAAAATCAACGAACAAGAAATCGTTCACGTGCTTCGAATCTTTGATTCTTGTATTGAATATACCGAATATTCGTACGTGATGCTTTGCGAAAGGTCGGCGATTAGTTTTTGAGGATATAAGCAAATCGACACTTTTTTATGTTGAAAAATTGTATCGGTTCTTAAGACGAAATATTCGTCTTGCAAAACAAAAGCGCTTCTAGTTTCGACAGTTTCGACTTTCGAGAGTTCCGAAATTTTATAAAGCTTCGGATTCGAGTTGCGAGAATTAAAAAATTCGGTTCGAACCCATCACTATCCTCGATTTAAACGAATTAATAAAGTTTCCGTTGAAGTAGAAACTGAATAAACGTAGTTGATAGAGAAAATACAAGGTTCACGAAAGATAAAGATAATGTTGTTTCGCAGAACAATGGCGCCCAGCAGCTTGCTTCTGAAGCGACGGTCCACATTGTCTTGGAGGACGTTAACGACGAAATACCTTTGTTCACCGAACGTGAGCAAGAAACCGTTCTGGAGGGTGAACCGGTTGGCAGTAAAGTTACTCAAGTCAACGCGATTGATAAGGATGGCACCTTCCCGAATAATCGGGTGAGTAAACATCACAAGTATTCGCTTCTACTGATACACGAAACGTCTAAGCGAATCTTACGCATCTCTAAATAATATAACGATGAATTAATTAATTAGTATTACTCTCATTCGTGCAACGCGTCTCTTCCTAAATTTGGCTGAAAATTTTGTTGCATCTGACAACTTTTTGATGTTACAATATTTTTTAACTATTGCTTAATTTTATGTACAGAAGAAATCATATTTTGTGTAATATTCTGGATAGTAAGTAAATTCTAACATTCCGGACAAATTGTAAAGGGACATAAGTCTAAATTTCTGGACAAACTTGAAATTTATCTCACACTTGTATTTGTACATCTACAAAATTTTTCTACTAATTCATTAATGATTTCAATTTTTTAATCTTCAGTAAATATTTTTTAATTTTTTTGTGCAGAATAAGATGTAAGCAGTAGTATTTAAGGAATGTAATGTGTATCACAAAATCATTATGTTCATACAATATTATTTTCAGTAAATTTCAAAAAAGTGAGATACAGTGTACGAATACATGTAACTGGAGCAACTGTATGTTTGATAAAGAATGTTGACATACCCCTCTTATGCAATTACTGTGAAAACAAATTTATTAATTCATATAAATCTCTTTGGATGAGCTTAACTGTTTACTTTTATTTATTCTAAATTATTAAATTGAAGGTTTCTATTTACTTTAAACTATTAAATTGGTGGGTGTAATTTTAACCGTAAAGTTAGATTAGGAAGATTTCGAAAAAGCAAGCTCGAATGAAATTTGCTGTGTCAGTTAAAAATATAAAAGATAACTTCGTACATTCCTATATTTATTTCTTCCATTAAGGAATATCATTTAAGACTGAAAAATACTATTTTAAACTTAATAATTGAAAACCATATTTTTAAAACAGTCTGTTTCAATTAAAATATAAGATCGGTTAAAATTAAAGAATGAATTTTTTCATATTTAATGTATTTTTAGTAACCCATTGTATGTTACCTCACCACACTAATCTCTTTCAATTAAATTAAAAATTACTTATAATTTTTCTCTAACTCTGTATCTAATCAACCGTGTATTCGCAAGATTCATAGTTTCAGTTTCTCCAAATAAATATCATGTTAGAGATCCATTAAAAGGATACATGTATTATTCAGACCAAAACTTTGTTAATTTAAGCCCCTGAAATTGTGTTTGTCGAAGTCGCTGTTATGATGGAAATGCCGTGTAACTTTGTTGCCGGTGTAACGTTGTTATGCTGCAAAATACCATAATTAAATGTGATCGCGTGAACCCCGTTATAATTTAAAATGTCGTAGTTTCATTGCAACGCGTCACTCGCAAGTGCTTCTGACACCTTATATAAATGTCTGCGACAATGTTTATTCACACGTTGTTGTCCTTTCATTGCGAGAACGTTAAAGGAAGTTTGTAACATTTTATTTTTGCAGTCAGTCGAATAAAATACATATAACGATACGTCTTTTAAATCCTGAATGTTCATACACTTTTACATCGCAGTTATTGATAATATAAAAGTAATTTGTTTGGAAAATATGAATTTTATTAATATAAATACTTGACTTACATGGTGCAAATTTAATTAATAAAAATTACTAGTATGTTAAAATTTTTTTAGTTGTCTAAAATTAATTCTTATAAAACGGTTCGAATGAGAAAGCTTTATTTTGTATTGTCAATACTTATAGTTTGTTAGCAATGTTTATGATTGCTTTGTTGAAGTTTATTTATCACTTTCAAATTTTAATGCAGAGAGTAATATCTCAATGACATTTACGAATAAAGTAACGATTTTATTTGTAAGTATAAGAAATATTGAAAGCAATTTACATCAGTTCACAACAAAGAGTATTTTATAATCTATGATGACATCGATTGGAATAATGTTTATTCAGAGTTGAATAGCAGAGTGATTAACCTACTGCTAATTTATTGGTACTTTAGAAGTATATTATATATACGAATGTATTTATGCAAATATTATTTATTTATCTTCACGGGGTAACGTTAAATGTGGCAATTTTTGATATTGTGTACACAAACATTTTTGATTGAATTATTAAAAAATGACTGAATTTAGTAGGATGAATGAACGGTTTCTTATTTCTAAATAAAATAATTTATTAATAGTTTCGCACTGGACCATCAAATCTGTCAAATATCGTTAGATTTTTTTATTTTGGATTATAAAATTTGTTAAGATACTTGACTTAACTGTTTAATGTCGATGAAGCAGTCAACGTAAAGAAATATTCCGTTTCACATATTACAGATTTTTTATTGACAGATAATTCAAAAAACTTGATAGCATTTAGTAGTTAAAATTTTATTTAATTAAACTATCACTACGGTATTTCTAAGATTTTTTTATAAAAACAAAACCAAGTCATGCGTTGCCTTGTGTAATAAATAAAGGGAAATAAGTTATTACTACACATTAATACTGTCAAGCGATTAAAACTCAGCACGGTCGTTTAAAAATGACTTTTTCGTGTCTACATAAAACTTATTGCTTCAAATTATGCGTCTCTTAAAATCATTCAACTGTTATATGAAACATTTTTCGTTATCGTCGACTGTTTCATAAATATTTGATGAATTTGATTTGAATAAAACAATCTGTATAAAAAAAGGATTATAATCTGTACAAAATCAATACACATTGAGCAAACAAAATCGCAGTACGTGCTTTTATATAATCGAGATCGCAAATAGATATAAATGAAATATGATGCATCAAAAAAACCAAAAAAGACGTCGCAGGAATTTTCAGATAGATACGTATATTAAAAAACATTTCAATATGTATTCACGAATAAATGCGATACCTGACATTTTAGAGTAAACGAATATGAAATTAATTAGTTTTCAAGCATAAAAGAAAGTAGAAGTCAGCTAATTCTCTGGGTGGAAATTCAAACATATTCTTTTTCGCGTTGTATCGAAATGCTCAATAAACTTTTGGTCTTGTTTTTACTCGTACTCGTACTTCTTAACACAGTAACTGCCACTTCATGTATGGGTGATGTTCAAATTTTCATACGAATGTACAGATGTCAACCCAGGAGTTGGCGCGTGACCGACCCAAAAATAAAGGAAGTTACGCCTATCCCTACCGTGAACAATTTTAGCATTACATTTTGCAATTAACAATGTTAAATAACAATAACATCTGCTGAACGCAATTCGCGTTATCCCATTCACTCTCGAGACATTTGCCGATTTTTATGAACTAATTGATTTAATTAGCATGAACTAATTGTTTTTGAACTAATTGTTTTTGAACTAATTGGTGTGAATGACTGTTTGAGCCAATAGTACCACTGCCGAAAATATGTGTAATAGGCGACCATTTTTCTATTTTGATTAAGTGAAGCCATAGCTTCTCTAAACACCTTTCTATTTTAATGCGGGGAAAATCTTCAAAAGATACCACGCGCCCTTTGGAGAGGGAACGGGGTAGGTGGGACTTTTACCCACTAAATACCCCATCAGCTACCTTTTCATTATAGGGGCGTTTTGGGACTTTTTCGGCACTACTTTCCGGAACGCCCTGCCCGGTGCACTTTGCTGCTCTTCTGTTCTCTAAACACCTGGGTCAAACTTTTTACGCATCAACTCGTGGGTTGACATCGGTACCTATATTACTAAAATTTCGTTCACTTATCTAACTGAATATTCGAGTAATAAATACTACAAATAATAACTATAACAAAATATTATTATTGGTAAAACTTGATGAAAACATAAATACTATGTATTCAAAGTTTCAACTGTTTATCAGTCAGCGTTAACACAATTCCCAAAATATCAATTCTCAAAAAGCCAAAAATCTCTTAAAATCGACTAGTGCTAAATTATTGCCATATTTGCTCTTGACTGTATATTTTGTATATGCATATGTGTGTTGTGTGAACACTTATGCGTTAAACGTAGTTTGCTGCAAAATATTAAAATGTTGAAATCCTTTTCTGTTCAGGTGACCTACTACGTGGTAAACAGCAGCAGGAACGAAGGAAAGGACTACTTCGAAATCAACAGCGAGACGGGCGAGATCTTCACGAAGGTGGTGTTCGATCGTGAAAAACAAGGCGCTTACGCATTAGAAGTTGAAGCCAGAGATGGTGCACCATCAGCGAGACCTAACAGCAACGGACAACCGAATTCAGGTATGTGGATCATCGAGTGTTCTTGGAGTTCGTTCATCGTTGCCTAGCTATGTCGGCGCGTATTCACCTCGAAATTGAATCTGCACGAAAGAGGGTTCGGATTTGAAACTTAAGCCGGAACGTACGATCGTATTTCTTCGTACGAACGCAGAGTAAAAGGAAAAAGAATTTCGTTCTCCTTGGATGGCGTTCTTTCGATAATTCTGCCACGATTGATTCGTGCATTTTTCTGGGGTTGGAAAGAGTTTAATACGAATTTCGTATAGTACTCATATATTATCATGGTTAAAAGTAACAGATAAGGATTTAGGTACTTCTGTTATTAACGATAAGTTTTATGGATTAATTCTTTCTTATCCGAAGCAAAGCTTTAGGTTCCTTTTTTAATATTAGTGCTGTTAAAACTGGTTCAGTAGGCTGGACCATGAAGGAGAAAATATGTTGATACTTTGAGTGTCGCGTCATTGGTGATGCTTAAATTTTATACGAATTTTATCACATGTGTTATTAAGAATTTGTTTATCTAGTTGAAAATACTCGTTTAACTACTTTAAATTTTAGATAATAAATATACAAAAATATTTTGAAATATTTGGCAAGATTTGTTAACAATGAAAATATTACTCAATCAAATTTTTAATTGCTTCAGTATGGCAATTCCAGAAGATTAAAATCGGTAATACCTTGCTTTAACTATCTTATTATAAGAGAAATTAACAACGAGAACGTGCAAATTTTTTAACATTTCTCCTTTTTAAGTATTTTCTTTTAATGAATGATTTAGATAGAATTAATATGAAACAGTCCGCATAAAAATAAAAATATTTTGAAAATCTACTGTACTAGAATTAAAAGTTATCCGGTTTCGACGTTTCTAAAGTTGCAAATTTATATAAATAGAAAGTAGTACAATTTAAATGTACGAAATTTTTTTGGTAGCCCAAGATATAAAATATAAACCTTTTATATACTCTTAATAGGGAATACAGATCAGTTGTAAAGACGTATAAGCGTTAAGCATCCCTTAAGAAAATTTTGACTGAAAATATGAATAATGCAATAGTTTCGTGAACGTAGCTCTTTTATAAATTGAGGAAAGAGCATATTTTGCATTTGAAAGCGATATATAAGTTACTTTATTCTACGAAACTGTACTGCTATTTAACTTTCCAGTATCAAAGAGAGTTCGAGTTTAATGATACCGCTAAAATATGATTCGTTTATAAAGTTTGTAGTTGAAGAAGGATAGAAGGTCAATCTAACAAATTTTTATTACATCCTGCACTCGTTAATAAACATATTTTAAATGAAATTGTACTTTGCAATGTGTTTACAGTAAAATAATATGCTTCTCCGTGAACTTTCGTGAAATTTGTAAATGAAAGTTTTTATTAAGGCGAAAGTTTCTGCAATTGTATTAAAATCACGATATTGAACGTATGCTTTATTTCAACGTGACATAATGTTCTACTTTTATGAAATTTTTAATAATTTTAATAGTTCTTTTGACAATTAAGTTTCTTTTAATAGTTCTGTCGTTTCTAACAGTTTAATCAATAGTTTTTTTATTATAATAGAAATTCAACAAATAATGTGTTAAAATTAAATGGCGTGAATAACTGAGTTAATTTCGAGATTTTTCATTTGTTTTCGACTATCAGTATTTTAAAACAAATTCTAAAATTTTTGAGAATGCAATGTAAATATAAAATTACTATTTCCCCAAAACGAAACCAGTTTGCAAATTCTATCGAGATTTAATCCTCCCTTTTGATGAATGCACTTTAAACATCAATTTCAATTTCGATGAAACAATTTGCCGTGCTTTCATATAAACTCATCGATACCATACATATTACGGTTTTCAATTCTTCGTCGATTCGAATGTATTTCGAATAAAATAGCTGAGTTCACAGGGAGGTTACTCCATTTTCATTTGATTCTTTTACGATTATCCTATTCCAAGGATTCAGAACACGATTGCACGCTCGTGAATCTTTTCGCGAACGTTCAAAGCCGGATTGGTTTGTGCATTCGCGAACAAACGACTCCGTTTCACTCGGCACGTTTCAGAAATTCATTCTCCGTTGCAAATTTATCGAACCACCGTAATATAGAATTCAATTCCTTTGGTGACATTGTAACCGGTTTGTTCATATAGAAATCGCAATTGTGCGATGTTTACCCGGGAAATTACACGACACATGTACTTAAAGAGTGAGCCAGCTGGTCACGTTTTAGTAATTTTCTGTCAGGAAAAATGTCTGTATCGCATAGCTTGGTCAACGGGGAACAATTGTTCGTTATTTCGCATTCAATCACACGTGAATTTTCAAAGTACTATTTCGTTCTGTAAATTCTGCGATAACTGAACTGAATTATAAATCGTGTTGCTTTTGCGAAGTATATGAGACTTGCGGAAACTTCAACGTCACGGAAATTCAACTGCCACGTAACTTATGATACACCTTTCACATTAAGACTATTAATGAGTTACAGTTGATCACAGAAATATTAAGCAGTTAAGTGTGTTTGATAACTATATCCGTCATGGAGATGTAGCAGAATTTTGTGTCATGACGACTATATCCGCCATGCGTACAATTTTGTTACAATTTGATATTTAAATTGTAATTTTGGCGAAAAATGAATTATATTCGTACATTGTAATATGTTTAAAATGTTTAGAGATCAATACAAAATGAAATAAACAAATAAAAAGTGTAATTGATTTTAGATGGATTCATGAATTCATGAGAGCTAACTCGTCATTGCTTGATTATCGCGACACACACTGGTGCGCGCTTTGCAAAAAGATCGCTACAGTTAACTGGTTAAGATTATTTCGTTTCTTAATCCTTTAAGTCTCGAACAACGACATTTCATTGTAACACTTGCGAAATAAAATTAATATTAATTTGCAAATAGTTTGCAAGTAATTATATTATAGAAATGGTGCTTTGGACGATATGAAAGCTGGAAATTACTTTGTGGAATGGTTAAAATTGAATACGTTTCAAATTGTAGGTTACTATCACAATTGTGTGGATATTTGAAATGAAAAGATAAAATTCACTTTATCCTTTGAATTTCAAGTGTTTTATTTATTTAAAAAGTTCGGCGAACTTCAAACATTATAGGATGTTGAAACTTCATTAATAGAAATTCCTTCTGGTAGTTTAGCAAAGTTTCTGAAAATTTGATGCTAAGGATTTATCATTAAATTTATATTAATCTGCACAACTTTGAACAAAAATTTAGAGCTCTGGAGTAACGAACTTGGAACTTTTCTATTGCTTCTTTTTTAACTTAATTTTAAAACTCTTGTTCCGTGGAGCTATAAATATATAGTTTTAACATGAAATACAGTCCACTCAGGTTTTTTATTTATTTAATCTCTGTAATTGTTGTCTTGTTCGTCGTATGTATAAATTGATACTCGCAATTCTGAGCTGACTTGCACCATCTCTGAATCTCTGTCCCGTGTCTTCACCAAACCTCCTGTGGTGCTTTCTGCGAAGTCAGAGATGAGACCTACCAAGAGATCTTCTCATTAAGCATACTTCAAGGACGTGGGTTCCCAATGTATCGGGCTTGAACCATATACTAGTTACCACGTGCACCACAGCAGCAGGATTTATGGCGGGCATACAATGGAAGTGTCTACGGCTGATCAAAACTAATGTCATATCTTTTCAAAGGTCAAACAACCACTTGATTGGTTACCTTTGATGACATTCATGCTAGACCAACTTCCGGAAGCTCAATCGCTAATCAGATTGGACAGGACAGAGAAATGAATCAGTTTACAAGAAACTAATAAGAGAACAAATTCAGTTCAGACAATTGTGCATATTACTATTGCAATCTATAGCGAACAGACACATTCAGAGTGAAAAGGTTTTCAAAGTGACGATCACTTGCATTTCGTCTAGCGATCAGAGCAGTTTCATTTATCAATCGAGTTCCAGTTTTTCATTTCAAGCATTATTTCATTTTTAAAAAAGGAAAGGCATTTTCGGCTCTTGAAACATCCTTACTTCCGTAAAAGGAGTAAGGAACGCGATTAGTGCAAAGATTAATAAACGAACAAAAAATCGCGTAAAAGAGCAACTCTGTTGATCCTTACTTGATTTATTAACAAGTATAGAGTAATTAAGATAGCTGGAGAGGGAAAATATCGTATGTACTAATATTGTAATTTATAATATGTCAAAATAAAGCGAAAAATAGGAAAACAGCATTTTACGTCAAAATCACGATAAGATATCAACTCTTACGGGTGAAATAATATTGAAAATAGACCATAAAAATACTTTCAAAAGTAATTTTCTTTGATTACATTCGTTCCTTTGAAATGATAATGCACGTTTGTGAACGTGTAGAAATAATTGGGTTTTATGTAGACACCTGAAGTTCCTTTGAACGTTATGACGAAACATTTATACGAATTTTAATAATTCTATCATTACACCGTTAAAGGTTAAGTGGGGTAAGTGCAGACTGGTTTTTGTAAAGTTGGTATTTAAGCATAAGTATTTTCAGTCTGCTATGTAAATACTGAACGCTGTCGATATCGAACGTTTTGCACAATTACTACTATTTAATTAATATTAACTAGGACCTTAATTTTCCTTGTACATTTTGATTTTAATAGGAAATTGTTTAAAATGTCAACTACTCTGCACTTTCCCCGAAAACTGGGTAACAGCGTAACTTAAAGTTAAAAATACTTTGAAACTTTATTTCATATGCAATGGGGCAAGAGCAGAATTATTAACAAATCTGCTATAAAATGCTTTTTACTGCATTATGCAAGTACTCTATACTGCAAACAAGTGCTCTTAGCTGAAATATAAAAAGGAATATAGTGAAACAATACAAGGAAACAAACATTAAATAGAGAAATTTCGCTCACATTGTAACAAGAATAGCCTGCATACGCACTTGCCCCGTTTACGAACTTACCCCACTTCACCTTAACGCAAATTTAAAATTAACCCCTTACCTTATAACATATCGCCAGGCTCGCACATTAGAAATCAAATGTCACAAACCTAAATTTACGTAAAAGTCGAATTTTAAGTTCGATGCCAACTTTAACTGAAGGATCCAAGATTTTGGATTTCTAAATTCAAAATATACCTAATATTTCAACTTACTCATCCTAATATCGCAATAATTATATGTGCGTTGTAGTGTCAGCAGTAGGTGACGATTAAATGACGTATGTAATCATTAGAATTCCCAATAAGTGAATATAAGTGGACTGTCCAAAAAATGCATTTGACTTGAAACGACTAAAATTTATTTTCAAATGTACTTTACCTTTTGCACTCGAAGGTAATTTGTCTGTTTACAAACAGCAACTTTAAAACTTACTAGTACAAAAGTTAAATGAATTATTTACATGTTATTATTTCTCTACTAATAATTTCCACTATTGTCTGTTCTACTATGTTTATACATCACACGTGTGATATTACAGAATCAGTTAAAAAATGCTTATTTCAAATTGTTGTACTAAATAAAATTGTGACTGTAACACCTTTCGAGCGCAAAGGATTAAATAATTGTCTGTTCAAGAGCTTCGAAGATCTACGTTTCACAAAAGCTCAGGGTGTACAATTTTTGTGATATTGATAAGGGAAAACAGTTTTTGATTTTCTATTGGTTTAGCTAAAATTCGAGTGACGTATGAAGTGGGTCTTTTCCCCAAAGTGATTGTAGCAAATAACAAAAACCAAGCAATAATAAAAGCAAACCCTAACATGAATAGAAAACTGTAGACAAAGGACTCTGTTGCTAAGGGTTCTGACAACCAGATGTAACAATAAATCAAAAAACACTTACCGGAATGTAATGACTCTTTGGGTCTTATTGCTGCTGGTAGGTAAAGAATTAATTCGAAACTATAAATGTGAATGATCGAGAAACCTTAAACTATTATATCGCTGAAGGCTTGAACTCAGGATCGTAGTAACTCTAAGACCTAACAAT